ATTGGGACAACAACCAGCATCGGTACAGACTGACATGGCACGCAGTAGTCAACCTCACCCACCTGGGAAAACTGAAAAAAATGTGGCACCAGCGACAGGTTGACTACTGCGGGCCAGAACGAGAACAACCAGCAGCAGTGTACACTTACATGGCCCGCAGTAGTCAACCTCGCCCATACAGGAAGAGATACACTGCGTTAGAGGGCGGTTGGCTACTGCGGGCCATCGGGACAACAACCAGCATCAGTACACACTGACATGGCATGCAGCAGTCAACCTCACCTAGCTGGAAAAACAGAAAAACATGTGGCACCAGCGACAGGTTGACTACTGCGGGCCAGAACGATAACAACCAGCAGCGGTGTACACTTACATGGCCCGCAGTAGTCAGCCTCGCGCAGACAGGCATACATACACTGGACAGACAGAAAGGTTGGCTACTGCGGGCCAATGGGACAACAACCACCAATGGTACACACAGTCATGGCATGCAATAGTCAACCTCTTGCAGCTTGGAAAACAACACTCGCACAATCGACACGTTCACTAGTCAGCGATGCAACACGACGCCGAACGTGACATGCGAGACCAGAATTGGCCTGCAAGGGGGACAACTTCGTGCTGTCGGACAGGTAGACATGCGCCGACAGAGGGCCATTCAATGTTGCGGCCCACTAGCCAACCTCAAGTATGTGAAAACCAGACATAGGTACACACAGAGAGAGAGAGAGAGAGAGGGAGAGAGAGAGAGAGAGGGAGAGATCACGCTTCCCTGACGACCCGCGCTGCCACAATTTGACATCTTCTGTACAGAGTTTCAAGCGCTCATGGATGTCAAGTCCTTTCCTGCAATATTCACATTTTTTTTCCGCTCCATGATGGTCCGCGTTCAGTAACACCGGTCCCATTATCTTTTTGATATATGAAATTATATGGGAAAAACAGTTCGCGACCAGCCTGGCCATTTGTCGAGAGTTTGCGTCAACAACGAAATTTTCAAAAATTTGTGTCGTCATAGGCAGTACAGAAGATTCTGGTCCGGCCGAAGGTGCTTTGCTGGCAAGCACGCAGGGGAAGTTGTGACGCACGTGGTGAGATTTCAGTGTGGCAACATCACTGCACGCTAATAGGACGTGTGGCGCAGGCGCATCCTTCCCAAGAGTGGCCCCATTTCCCGAATACACTCCGATTGGTCTGTCAACTTCTTCTCTTCCCTTCTTCGTTTCACCTTCTCCACATCCCATAACATCTCCTTCCATACATGTCACCGTCAGTTCTCCAGCCAACAACCTGCCTCGAGTGTGTTAGAGGGCATCCATTACGTCTTCGCAACTGCTCAGCAGAGACGCGATTTTTGCAGGAAACTCGTCATTAACAGACCCGACACCCACTTCACTCAGACCGTACTCCTCGACGGTTTCCGTACAGTGGCGAATACAGTCCTCGGCAAAGGCTAAGAGGTCAACGACGCTGCGTGTCGTCGTAGGTAGCGAACCTGTGTTGTAATCTTGGCTATTATACGATGCCCACCCCTCCTTCAGCACATACTTTCTGCAGCTGGCAAGACACATGACATCCCCTCCGTCTGACTTCCCGTTTGTTGTCTTCGTGACGTGGGCGGAGAACCGCTTCAAGACTGCGGTGCGCCTTTCCCTTTCAATATCCAGCCATGCCTGAAACTCGTCGAACGTGGTGTTCTTCGTTTCAGCA